AAACCAACTGGGCATGTCTAGGAACGCTAGGAATCGGGAAGCGGAGACCGAGGAGCCTCGCTCCACACTAAGGTCTATTAAATATATTACGGTGGATAAGCGATTAGGGTAAAAGAGAAAAGTGGCCAATATTTAGGGAGATGGGGGGAAGAGTTTGGCGGCCCTTTTCGAATAAGAAGTTGGCAACGGAGGTAAAAATCTTGCCAATATGAAACACACTGAAAATAAGGCAGGCAGTCAACTCGATTCGTCTCAATACAAAGAAACGAACAAACAAGTGGCATTGAAAGCACCAAATTAATGCCCAATTTTTAAGGAATCTAGGTATTAGTCATGAAGGACTGTCTTGCGAAAACCTAAATCTAAAATAAGAAAGGCGTGTACCAGTAATGGTTCGTTAATCTAACGCTTGACTTATAAGAATACACTACATCGCGACGATACCTCAAAAGAAAATACCCAGTTAAAATTCCAGCGGTAAGGTGCACAGTTAAGCGATTATCTGAAGAAGTCTAGCTGGTCTGTATTTTGCATAATTTTGATGTGTACATTCGATTTGTTATAATTTTGTGCTTGAAAGCGATGGGTGCCGATTAACACGTTTTATTGGCGGTACTATGCTTTCGTGTGTCTCCTGAGTTTTCCATGTTTTAGTATGTGGTTGCAATTTCTTTCATATTTTATTATAGATTTAAGCATTTTTTCACGCTTAATTGCTCCAAGTCTCTGCCCTGCACATATTTACTGCAACTTCTAACAGTCAGATATTAAGGAAACTAAGGCCGCCTTGATCCTTTTTGTAAATATGGTGATATATTAGTACTGTTTTGAATAGAGTTGAAATTTCCAGCATTTAAGACTGTAAGGATCCAAAATGTTCTAGGCTGCCTTACTAACTGCCTTCTCAGAAGAGTTGAATGCTTGTAGCAACGCTGTTATCGTTTACTCTAAATCTCATTTAATGCATTGTGCCCGTCTTGATTTTCACAATGGTGGGGTGATTAATTATAACTATTGAACGAAGGTCGAACAACCTAGTTAGTCACTTTGTAGTGGGGACATCGATTTGAGTTATTCTTCTTATTTTGTTACGTTAGTAAATTCCAAAGTTTCTGCTGGAGATAATGTCCGTTATCTTGGAAACACTCACATGCATGATTTAGAGATATTCCAACCTCTAGCTCTTGGTAATTATAATATACCAATTATGCCGTCCTTTGTGGTATGCTCTTTAAACTCAACGGTAAAGTTGTCTCGCTTTGCCCTAAAATGCTACTCCTCCCTATTCAAACTTGGGATCGGAAATTGACCACTGTTTGGTTCGCGTTGATGCACGAGGGTGATCCATTTTTGCTTTCCATATAATCCATTTTTCATCTCCAATAATATTCAGCCTTGACGTTAGAATACCCCTTCGATACAACTGATTTACATAAATTATTTGCTGATAACCTGGTTAAGCATTCACCAATGCATTGTAATTGTTTTTGCGACGAGTGCATGTGAATGTATGTACCTTTACCACTTGTGGTATTGATGTATTCTGTTGGTCGATTTCGGAGAACATTTTGGAATTCATGGAACTAGGTACTTTTCTTTTATCTCACTACATTTTTGTATTTTCACATCCTTCATTTAGAGACTTTCTTCACCATGCTGCCCCCATTCCTTTTGATGTTTTTACAACTGGTCAGAAGTATACAGCCGGCAATTTCTGTCAGTCCCTCCACCGAATCTGAGAAAATGCTTCTGAAAATTCGGGAAATGTTCGATTTTGGGTATAGCAATTATATGAAATATGCGTATCCCGAAGATGAGCTTGATCCAATTCACTGCCGTGGTAGAGGACCCGACCTCACTGATCGAAACAACATCAACATCAATGACGCGCTGGGTGATTATCAGCTCACACTAGTAGATTCTCTCGATTCTCTTGCTGTTAGTTTTTTTAGACTCCCTAACTTATTTCATCTAGGTGTTCGGTAACACGACAGAATTCAAACGGACTGTTAAGTTAGTTGCGGCTACATTGTCTTTCAATAAGCAATCTGTGGTACAAATATTTGAAGCGAATATAAGGTTTGTGATCATTCAATGTGACTCCTCTATCATGAAGGATATTAGGAGGACTGTTATCTGCCCATCTATTAATTACTGATCCGCACAAGAGATTCAGAGATCTGCGGCCAGATAATTACAACAATGAATTACTTAAACTTGCTCGAAATCTGTGTGACAGGCTTTTAATGGCGTTTAAAGTAAGTTGATCATTGGTATTTTAATTAAAGTTAATTATGTTTATTGATACATTTTAATATGTGGCTATTTTCATGGATTAACTGCTTGACCTTAGTTATTACTGGTTTTATATGCCACATATTCTGGTAGTTTTGAGTCATTTTAATAAGAGCTAGTAGATTTTTATCTCCGTGCCGGTAAATCCGTCATTCAATATTGTTAAAGGCCCTATTTACAGCTTCTTTAATTTATGTTTTCTTCAAAAGGGAACGCCTACCGGTATTCCTTTTCCTAGGATACATCTGGGCTGGCGATCAGTTGAGACGCTGGGCAGGGAGGATTCCTGCCTAGCTGGTGCCGGCACTCTCCTTTTAGAAATGGGGACCCTTAGTTTGCTTTTGCAGGACCCACAGTATGCCACTCTGGCGCGCAACGTCGTCCTTAGACTGTGGAACTATCGCTCACCCGATACGGGTCTCCTCGGTGCGTCTGATGCTTCACAGGGAAAAATGTTTTTTTTTTGTAAATAAATCCGCTGGATTGAATTTACTGGTTAGTCTTCCTCTAGTTTCTCCTCCAATTCAAATTGACACCATATTACTTATTAATCTGTAGTGTGAAAACGTTAAGTAGTTCAACGAATGTCTGTCTGACCACACCATCTGATTTTTTTACCTTAAACACACCCAAAGTTGGAGTGCTTCCTAATCTTTTTTTCCGAACTTTTTTGGAGATCTGTTTTCTGACAATACTGCCCTTACCACCTATAATAAATCAAAAAACCCGTTTGTGGTCTTTATTCTCAAAACCTTTCTATGTGGTGAGTTAGTATTCAAGTGATCGGATGTTTTGATGCCTTTGCTTACGCAAAATCACTCCTTTTTATGCTCACATATTCAGTAGACGAAGGCAATCAGCTAATTTGCACGTACATATTCTATCTACGAAATAATAATTTTGGTTTTATCTCCAAAATTTCTATCACCTTTGTATAAGAACCTGCCGTTCTGTTTCATAGCGTTACTTCGGTCGTGAATGGCAAAAGCTACTTTTTAAATATTTTTCATATGCGTAGTCAGCAGTGCCTCTGAATGTGCACTTTTCTAGCCTAATGCAGGATGCTTACCAACTTTTAGGCACCGATATCAACATATACACGGGTGAGTGGATAAATTCAATGTCAGGCGTAGGTGCTGGTCAAGACTCTTTCTATGAATATCTTCTAAAGGTTAGTAGCGGCTCTCGCAATTTTTTCTTTAGCCGAAATGTGTATGCCTAATAGATTTCTTTTCATCTTGTCATAGTCCCTGCTTATTTAAAATTAAATTGCCCAATTATTCCAGAGTAACCATCCGTACACTCCATTCTCACTGCTTCTACTTTGTGCTTCCTTATATCCTGACTAGGTTATCATTTGTCTCTTCGGATTGTATGGAGGTATTATCACCACTAGATTATTAGTTTAAGTATGTTAAGCCGTCAATATGATCAGCACGCGTGATCTGCAGTTCCCTCACGTCTATATAATGTCCTACCACTGAATAAACTACGATTTTATTCCTTAGAGTGGGATTCTTTTTGATGACTCCGAACTGATCCAAATGTTTGAAGAATCTCTAAGAAATTTGCGCCGTAGGTTGTGTGGAGCTTCTTCTGTGCATCACTGTGCGTGTCCTGAAGGCCATCCTCCGGTCTATTGGAATACCGACATGTTTACAGGAGAAGTGGTTAATACCTGGGTCGATACGCTGCAATCCGTCTGGCCTGGAATACTCGTAAGTATGACCCTGCATTTATTTTTCACCTTCACATTAGATGTCCAAAAATATGAGGCTGGTCTGAGCGTACGTTGTTGTTTATGTTCCAAACTAATTCACTTTGGCATCTTCTGATAATATCCGTGTC